GGAACTTGTGCACAGAATCCACAGACATTTTTTTGTAAGTGAAACTCACTTACATTTTAGTACACTTTTAAAGGCATGTATCTGGATTCCAGCAACCTAGAGATATCAAACAGTGCGCCTTTCAGTGCACTGTTTAGCCTCGTAATGTTTGACTTCGCGAAAGTCTGGACAGAAAACCCGGACCTCGACCACTATTTCACAGCCTGTGTTCTGAACTGACTGACCCTAAAGATTTACAAACTTACATCCCTTAGGGAACTTTGCTCGTTGCTACTCTCTCCCCGAAATGCACAAAGCCGGGCAAAAATTGTTTGAGAGAATAAACATCTTAAAATTACTATTATGAGAGGCAGTGCTAATTGACTTTATGAAAATAGATAGTTTATGGTACATTTTAAAATGATTTTAGCCTCTGAAACGCCAATTTAGAGTTGCCGTGTATGTTGTTGTTTCAATTTTAGACCGTCACGTCTATATGTGGAACGTGGAAACTCTTCAAATGCAAACAATTGCGTGCAAAGTTGAAAAACAATCTGAGGAAATGCGGTTCCGAGCCCTTTCTTCGGGAGATGAAAGAGTGTCTGCCCAGAGCTCCAGCAGTAACTCATTGGCACAAGAATCAATAGTGCAAGTTGCAGATATTCAAAAGCTGAACGAATGTATTTACGTGGGCTTGAACGTTGGATACGTTCTTGTTTACAATGGAACAACAGGCGATAAGGTCAACCAAATCCATTGTTATGTAGAAGACGTCTACAGGATACTTGCTGTGGAACCAATCATAGCTCCTCCCAGGTGCCAAGTGATGGAGCATTACCAGGCAATGTTCCACAAGAAGGATCCGAGGTTCTTGACTTTCGGAAGAGGTCACTACAGTTTAGTGGAGCAGAGATTGTCGTGCAAAATGGCGACTGAGGCGACAAACAGACGCGGGCGGGCACACACGTATGATTCAATGTTCGCAGCTTCTCGCGACATTGTCATTAAGCTTTGGAACCAGTACGGGGAGGAACTGAACAAAATAAAAACGCGCAAGCCAAAGCTGGTTAAACAGGAAACAGGTAACAAATTATAAGCATGAGGGTAAATAATAATAATTATAAGCATGGGGCGGGGGGCGGGGAGCATAGTCTATTTTTGCAAAATTAATTACTGAAACAAAAACATGTTTGATTTTAAATATTTTACAGATTTTTGGGCAGAAGTTTTTGGGCTTGAAAAGTGTCAACTGAATTAGGCTTCAAAAATTCTTTCAAAGCTAAAAATGTAGTTTTTGTTGCTTAAATTGGAATGGACTAAAAATCGAAAATTTAAGCGGTTTGTCATTACACTGAGAAAAAGTTTTGAAACTATTTTCAAAAATCGACCGAATCACGATGGAAAGGACTTTGATATTAGCCACTCTGGCCTCTTTCTTAGGTTCCTGATTTTGAGTGGACAAAAGTGTTTAAAAACAAAAACTAAATCCGCACACCACGAATACTAGTTCTTGCCGCTTTCAGAGGTCGGAGAAAACAATTATAAGCCAGCTAGATTATGTTTTTAGTGACGAATGAAAAGCGGCGAACGACATTCTGCGGCGGCGAAAGAAACGAGCAAAAGGTAGCAGCACCGAATGCCGTCTCTGAGATGTGCATGAAAGCAGTACTGATCCCGAAGGAGTTGCAGGAATCCACTTCTGAGTTATCCCAAGCCGACCTGAACAAATTCATGAACATTCTTCGTTTTGACGAAGCAGCGGTTGAAAACCTTGCCAACGCCACGCCTTCTGACGATGACAAGGGAAATGACGAAATGGATTCACAACCAGAAGAGAATAGTAAGCGACCATTGAAACGACCTTCGCTTCTGGGAACTTTTTCGCGCAAGAAACCAAGAAGCCAGTTAGATGCTATCATTGAGAACCCAGAGCCAAAACGGGTGCTAGTAGACGTCAAGGAGTCAGGCTTTGCCTGCTATAGATTCTCATTGACTGTTAAAGGTCAGATAGTGGAGTTCAGCAACGGAGTCTCAGTCAGTTTCAAACCTTTTTCGTGCGAGACTTCAGCGCACCAAACTGTTCTCATTATTGTGAACAGTCCTGACAACGAACAGTTAAAAAGACACTTTCCAAAGTGCAGCAGTTCTCCGATAGTTAATATCATAAGTGAAATCAAAAAAGAATTCAAAAGACCCGTGGCCGTTTCGTTTCCCGGAATACACGGAGAAATTTTCAGTCAGAAAGTATACACTGGCTTCGATTTAGCTCCCGATTGTTTATTTCCGGTGGAAAAGCTAGAACGCGTGACAGCAAACAGCAGAGCTATAGAGTACCAAGCCAGTCAGTTCTTCATGCCAATTTGTGTCGTTTCGTCCGCAACTTCTGCTAGCCTACCTGGCTTCGTTAATCTGAATAACTTATTCCCACAAGAGTTACGAATGTTCCTCGTATTGTATAAGGAAAACGTGGGTCACGAAAGGTCCTTGCACTTCAGCTGTCTGCCAGCGAATCGTTTTCTGAATGTTGTAAAGATGCTCCCAGTTGCCGATGTGCAAGTTCACGGAGTTCAAATACAGACCAAAGTTGGATCAAAAATCGAAATCACAGCATTCGACCGAACAGTTTATTTGAACGTACTTGATAACGAAATTGTAGTTATCAATGACAATACGGATCCCAAGTTCCAAGAATCTCAAATATCGTACCAATTCTCAGTGATTTGTCCAGTTTTCACGAGAAACTGCACTTACGGGAAACTATTGGCTAACCGGTCTATCAACGTGAACTTTGAGACCATTTTGAGGTCAGTTTCGAGGTCAATTGCTTCGACCGACTGCAACTGGACAGAGTTTCTGAACAAGGCGAGTTTCGATGAAAGTGACGTGAAAGTGTTGATCAACCATGACAACAATGAAATTCTGGAAAAGATGAGTTTGTTCGCTACTAAAAACGAACTTGTAGATATCTTATCACACCTCGTGGACGAGACGCAAGTGGATTTGAACAGAGAAAACATCTATACAGTGATCGACCGAGTGAGCTGCTGGCGAACTATTTCTCGGAGCGAGATTGTGAGAGCTCTCAAACAGAATGACAAGTTTAGAAGTGTGTCTTTTTCAGGCCAAATAACAAACTTTGCTGCCCAAATTGCTGCCAAGTGTCTGATAGAAAAGTATCGATTCAATCAACTTCAGCCTGGCTCATTGTTGGACATTGCAGTGTATGCTGAAGATTTAGCACGTCCCTTCTGGACACACAAAAGGCGACGTATTAGCTCAGACGCCTCATAAATCCAATAGAATCACTTACGCAATCATACCGCCTGCAGATTCCATCGATTAAACAACAAATATCTTAACCACTTTTCTCCTAATGTCATATGGATGAAAATAAATTATTTCAGTTAATTAGGATAACAAATGACTTGAACGAATACATTGACATAATTGACAAAAGCTGTGCTCTGCAAGCATGTGAAGTCGGAATTTTGCAATAATAAAGAAATCACAGATAATCAGAACAAAAAAACAATTTCTTGATCGAGCATTATGTCAAAGCATTGCAGAACAGGTTTTGCCCGAATATAATAGGTAAAATATCCGAATTTGTTTTATACAATTTTTTGGTAAATTTTCCCCCTCACGTGTTTCAAGCAGACTGATAAATTTTTCATCTTTTAAGCGTTTGATAAAACCAAATAGCTTGCAATCATTTTTTGTGGATTGAAATCTTGGCTGTTTTTTTTTGCATTAGGAATAGCGAACACATTGATTTCTTACAGCTGCACTTAAAGTAACCTGGATAATGCATTTGAGCTTTTTAGTTTTAGTGTATTAACATTTTGGTGATTGAAAAAAAATTGACAGTTGAATTGTGTTAGTAGGTCTGACGAACAAACACCCGAGTACGTTTTCCGTCGTTTTCTTTATTTGATGGAAAAAATTGAAATATTTAAAACTTTGAACATTGTCTTTAGAAAGTAAGAAAAAACACTATGAGCAAAAATATTCCAAAATTCCCGGGTTCACCTCCATAAACCGAAAATGCTTATCTTACAATTCCATACATCAATTGTATGGAAACATGCTAATCATACAGTTTTCATACAATTTCAAAAAATCATTTAAAGAAGATTCGAACTAGTTTCTGCGGCTATTTGAGCCAAATAAAACAGTCTGGTGATGAAAAAATCTTTGTTTCTTTTTTTTTTGAAAAAAAATATATCATAGAATTTCCATATATGAAACATGTATGATTAGCAATTTTTTGATGGCCACAACAAAAATTTTTCCAAAAAATATTAAAATTGCCCCAAATTTTTTTTGTTTTTTTTTTCAATCGCAAATCGAATTTTGTACGCAAAGAAACATTTTACAAAAAAGATTTTTTTTGCATGCAAATTTTAACTTTTGTCTGAATAACGTAGTCCTGGATACACGAAAATTGGATTTTTTCCGTTGTTCTGGATAACTTTTTTCAAACAGGCTAACAACTCCTTCTTCTTTGAAAAATTTTGCCACAACTGAAAAGTTTGACGCTATCAATATATTATTTGTGAAGATAACTCAATGAACCCAAGAATATTAAAAAAAAAACAAATCTTTTGGGAAACCTTGCCCAGACGAGTAAAATTTCGTAAGACAATTGCAGCAGAACAAAAATTTTGAATTTTTAATTGTTTCGGCCGACATTTTTTTCTTCTTAGAATTTTAATTGAAATGCCGGACCATGCTCTTTGAAATTGAGTGCCTGATTAGCTAATCAGATTCAACTTTATTACTTTGAGTTGAAAAAACTGCAAAAATTTCAAGTATTTGGAAAAAATTGGGGAAATCTCATAGTTTTAGTTAATTTTTTTGTTGCTTCTGATCTAATAGAAACAATATACGTACGTACGTACAGAGTGTAAAACTGAGTTCAAATTGCATACTAAACGGCATCATGTTGAGACAATGATACAAAAGTTTCAATAAAATTTTGGATTTTTCCAAAATTTTCAAACAAAATATTGAAATACGATAAGTTTTAGCATAATCGGAGCTAGAAAGCAGGTTTTATAATGCTCTCAACGTTAACGAGAAAGCTCATAATAGCTGATTCAATATTGAAACTTCCGATTCCTCGGGAGAATAGTGAAATTAACCGTAATTTTTGAGAAAGAAAAAAATTAATCAAATCTACCCAAAAATTTTCATTATCAACCTTTGTTTTGGTAATTAACTAATTTTTTGTCCAATTCAGGTAGAATTGAAAAAATATTTTCAATTCAAAAGAACATTAAGAGCAATATTCTACAAAATTTCTAGATCAAACTCCATGATTTAACTCCTCCTCAGTTTTTTCTCAGTGGTTAACCCAAATTTGTAAAAACAATATTACAACTTCTGAGAAGTTTTTCACGTTATTAAAAATGAATTTCAGATAAAAGATAAACATTGAACAGTTAATTGCTCAAATTGACTAAAAATGGTATAAATTTATTTAAAAATTTTATACGATATTGGCTCAATCTCAAAAAAATCTTGTTCATAACTGATGATTATCTCTCTGTTGCTTCTGCAACATAATTTTCATGAATTTCCGTAGATATGTTCTATGTTTTAAAGTTATTCTTGCTTTCTGCTCAAAACGTATTATCGGTTTTGAACTCACTTTGCAAGAAAATTAAGTCAGAACCGGAGAATTTAGGAGGAAAATAGTATCAATTGAACGAACAGAGATAAAATTAGAACTGATACTGCCTGATCATTACGATAAAAAAAGTAAGTGTCTTCCTCAAAGTTCTCTTGTTAAATTGCTACAGTAAACTATTTAAGCAAAAATACAACTTTTGGATTCAATAAATATCACTTTTCTTGCAAAATAGTTATTAAATCGCTTTTTATTCTTTATTTATGACGGAAGTTTTCTCAAGAATATCCAAGTGAGAAAGAATCGGTGCTAATTAAACAATTCAAAAACATATGTAAAAAATGAGAATATAAAAGTGTGTTTTAACAATTCAAGGACAAATAAAGAGCAGCTCTATTACTTATAACCTGAAAACCTCAGGAAATACGCAAGGGAACCTAGTTCCTAACATCTACAATATCTAAAAACGTCTAAAAGAGCGCAACTCAAAAAATTGATTTTGCCAAGGAAATCAAGGTGCAAACTGGAACAACTTTTTAACTTTCCTATGTTTATCGAGCAAAAAACTCTATAGTGAAAAAAATGAAATGTAGATCTTGAAAGCAAGTTTTTGATTTATGCTTCATGCATCTTCTTCCAAGAGATGTCTGATTGGGTTTACTTTACAAAAATTATCCTCAAAAGATCTAAATTGTCATATAAAGCTGCCTAATGTATCAAAAGATAACAAACTTTTCTAATGAATTACACATAAATACAAATCTTTGACATTTTTTATGTCTGACTTTTTCTCAAGATAAACTTTATAAGCCAAATTTTAGTAAAATTATCTCAACAATCCTAATGAATTAAACTGAGTTTCTATCTCATTTTAGCATTTTCTCACTTTCTGCTGCATCTATTATCTATCAAAATAATCCAATTTCTACAAATTTTAACATGAAAATTGAATTTTAGATAAAAAATGTATCGTTTCAACGAACGTTCAATAATTCGAAGCTGAAGTAAAACCATGAATCCTTTGCTAAAAGTCTTTATTTGATTTGCTCAACCTGATAACTTTATAGTGCTGTTTCAGATCTAATTTTCTACATTGAGGTAATTCTTTGGTTGAGAATGATGTGTAAAGAAATGATTATCTTGAAATTTTCAAAGGTTAGCACAAACATGCATTTTTTCATCTTTTCTGAAATCGTCAAAAAACAGTAGAAAACTATAATTCTTAACAAATCAAACCCAATTATCTGCTTAATAACGCACTACTCTATGAACGCTTTTACAACCACTAAATAGGGAAAACTTTAAAATGGCAACTAGGCAAAACCTTTCAATTAGTCGATGTTTTACAAATATCCAGTTTTTTTTTACAGTTTTCAAACAAATGAAAGACAACTAGGTGAAACCTTTCAATAAGTCAATTTTTACAAATGTTCAGTTTTTTTACAGTTTTTAAACGAATAATTAACCACTCATTAGCGTATGTTACGCACTTTTACTACAAACTTATCGAAACAAAGTCCGAATTATCTGCTTAATAACGCACTACTCTATGAACAGTTTTACAATCACTGAACAGGGAAAACTTTAAATGGCAACAGGGCAAAATCTTTCAATTAGTCAATGTTTTACAAATATCTAGTTTTTTCTACAGTTTTTAAACAAATACTTAACCACTCATTAGCGTATGTTATCCACTTTTACTACAAATTCATCGCAACAAAGTCTCCTCAAGCTTGCAACCAATAGAGTTTTTACTGTTGGCTAAAGATTTTTGGATCAATTTCCATGGAAAATTTCAGAACAATTTGAACTCGATTTTTGCTGTCTGTATCGTCAATCAACCCCCCTTGAATAAAAAAAATGACAGACCTAGAATTGTGATAAAAAAACTGCAGAGTTATTAATAGAATTTTTCAATTTCATCGCAATTGTATTTCAGACTGAGTAAAAATTAGTATTCATAGTAAATTGAACGAACAGAGATAAAATTAGAACTGATACTGCCTGATCATTACGATAAAAAAAGTAAGTGTCTTCCTCAAAGTTCTCTTGTTAAATTGCTACAGTAAACTATTTAAGCAAAAATACAACTTTTGGATTCAATAAATATCACTTTTCTTGCAAAATAGTTATTAAATCGCTTTTTATTCTTTATTTATGACGGAAGTTTTCTCAAGAATATCCAAGTGAGAAAGAATCGGTGCTAATTAAACAATTCAAAAACATATGTAAAAAATGAGAATATAAAAGTGTGTTTTAACAATTCAAGAACAAATTAAGAGCAGCTCTATTACTTATAACCTGAAAACCTCAGGAAATACGCAAGGGAACCTAGTTCCTAACATCTACAATATCTAAAAACGTCTAAAAGAGCGCAACTCAAAAAATTGATTTTGCAAAGGAAATCAAGGTGCAAACTGGAACAATTTTATAACTTTCCTATGTTTATCGAGCAAAAAACTCTATAGTGAAAAAAATGAAATGTAGATCTTGAAAGCAAGTTTTTGATTTATGCTTCATGCATCTTCTTCCAAGAGATGTCTGATTGGGTTTACTTTACAAAAATTATCCTCAAAAGATCTAAATTGTCATATAAAGCTGCCTAATGTATCAAATGATAACAAACTTTTCTAATGAATTACACATAAATACAAATCTTTGACATTTTTTATGTCTGACTTTTTCTCAAGATAAACTTTATAAGCCAAATTTTAGTAAAATTATCTCAACAATCCTAATGAATTAAACTGAGTTTCTATCTCATTTTAGCATTTTA